TTGTGAAAGTTAAAGTTCCCGCGGGGGGAAGCAAGGGGCCGACTCTGTATGGGTGATACAGCAAGCTCCATCCTTATTGTCCAACAGGCTCTTTTTTATACAGTGCAGGACAGGCATACAATTATCAATCATTTTTAATTGGCTAGGCTCTAAAGATAGCATTCAGGTACCCTCCCTACTCACAGCTGCAACTGTGAGGCTTATCTCCTGCTTTCCCAGGCTTGGGAGCATTCCTAGCTGTTTTTCTCGAAACTTTTTGTTTCAGCCTCAAGGACGAGTTACCCCTGCCATCTGCCATTTGCCCAGCTGAATTACTCCCTATCTATATATAAGTTACTATCTCCAGAGCCTTGCTTGTACACTGCATTCCCAGGTGCATTCCCAGGACTGTGTCTGTACGTTCCCAGGGGACTGTGGCCTAGCTCTTTTTGGCCTTCCCCGCTCTCTTAGCCATTCTCCAACAAGTCTGGGGCTCTGCCACCACAGATGGGACTGCTAGAGCAGGGACAGGCTCACTGCTCCCTGTCCCAATCTGCTCCAGAGGCAGGATGGCTCCAGCAGCAATGGCAGTGCCCATCATCCAGGGACTGGGTAGAGCTAGGAAGCTCCTGCCCAGCCCTTAAGCTGCTCCCTGGCTCTTACCCAAGCACATGGTGCTGAGCCCTGATCCTGCAGCAGCCTCTGAAGCAAGACAAGCTGGGGGCCAAGTAAGCCTTGGCCCTGGTCCCCAGGGAGCAGCCCAGAGCAGCAAGGGGCACAAAGGAGAGCCAGAAGGATGCCATGCAAGCGGAGTTACAATTACTAAAATACCAGTTTGCATTTATTCTCCCAATTACGCTGTTCAGTTTACTGGTGCCAAGTCTGTGACCAAGGCAGACTCGAAGGCGGCAATACTGGCAGAGCTGGGCACACATCCCGGGAGCAGAGCAGTCCTGGCAGCAGCTGAACCCAGCTCTGCTCACAGATGGGGCTAAAGCTGCCCTGGGCAAGTCTCTTAAGGCTGGTGTGCACTGCTTGCATGGCTGAGGGAGCAGGCAGAGCACCCTGAGGGTCCAGCACACCCCACTCCTGCTTCTGTGGCACCTGGAGCTGGGGAGGGAGAGCCAACACCACAGCAATCCCCACGGAAAAGGCAGAACCAGGGAGATCAGTACAAAACGGGGCGACACAGGGAGCGACACGAACACCCTGCCCAGGGAGAGCAGCGGGTACTGAAGGCACTTGGTCCCTCGTGGCCCTGGAGTCTCACAGGGACACCTGGAGGGCTTGGGGTGGCAGCTCTGGTGCAGAGGGTTCAGGGCAGGTCCTCCCTCCCCGTGCAGGGGCAGCCAGGTGCCAGCACAGGTGCCAGTGGGGCTGCTCACAGCAGTGGGCAGGCTCTGCGCTTCTTGTTCTTCCGGACCTGCAGGCCGGCGCGCGTGGCCATCTCGAACACCTCCCGCACCCCTTCCTTCGTCTTGGCCGAGCACTCCAGGTAGCCGAAGGCATTGATCCTGTTGGCCATGTCCCTCCCTTCCTCTGGCTTCACTGGCTCCTAGGAAGCAGTAAAACATTTGGAATTATCACCAGAAAACAGGAGCAGAAGCACAGCGAATGCTCTTGGGGCATCCTGTGCTTCCCCCCAGGACGCAGCACGGGCAGAGGGAGCTGGGGCTGTTCTCACCTGTTTCATCTTGGCCAGCTCCCGTCGCGTGTGCTCGTCGTTCCGCAGGTCCTTCTTGTTCCCCACCAGGATGATGGGCACGTTGGGGCAGAAGTGCTTCACCTCTGGCGTCCACTTCTCAGGGATGTTCTCTGCAACAAGTCCATGAGTTGAGGAGGGAAGCAGGGAGAGCTTGCCCTGGGGCATCCTCCTCTCCCACCACCTCTACCCAGCCAGCAAGGTCCCTGGAGCACACACATAGGCAGGAGATGGAGGGGAGGGACTGGCATCCCCCTGAGGGGCAGCACAGCAGCTTCTCAGACCCTAGGGAGTTCAGCAGCAGCACCCAGTCCTGTGGGAGCCCCAGATCCCCCCCTCACTCCCCAGTCCCTACCGAGGCTATCTGGGCTGTCGATAGAAAAGCACATGAGGATAACATCTGTGTCTGGGTACGAGAGGGGCCGCAGTCTGTCGTAGTCCTCCTGTCCTGCCGTGTCCCACAGGGCCAGTTCCACCTGTGAGGGGAGAGGGATGTGGCTCAGTGGTTCTGCAGGTCAGGAGGGACAGGTTTACCTTCCTCAGGTACAGCTATGGTCTCCTCAAACTCGAGCAGGTTCAGGGTGACACAAAGTCAGAAGCCACAGGGGGCCCCCTGAATGCTGTGAGCCACATGGACCAACCCTGGCAGCAGCACATGGGACCATAAGGGAATGGGAATGACATGGCAATGGCATGGGAATGGCATGGCAATGGCATGGGAATGGCAATGGTCCTTACCTGCTTCCCATCTACCTCTATGTCAGCAATGTAGTTCTCAAACACGGTGGGCACGTAGACTTCAGGGAACTGGTCCTTGCTGAACACGATCAGCAGACAGGTCTTCCCACAGGCACCATCTCCCACGATCACCAGCTTCTTCCTGATGGCTGCCATCGCTGCGGGCACAGGAGCAGGTGAGTGGGACAGAGCAGTGTGGGCAGCCCATGCTCCTGGCCCACCAAAGTCCTGTGCATCACTCCCCAGGAGGTACCAGACACAAGTACCTGGGCACATCCCAGTGTGAGCAGCTGGTGACAGTCAGGGTGGAGGTTTCTCCAGCCCTTCACTGTGTCCAACTCCTCCAGCTCACACACAGAGCAGCTCATGGGCACTGCAAGAACTGTCTTGACTGGAGCCATTTACACCCAGCACTGCTACTGTGGCCAGAACAATCCCAGAGATGATCCAGCAATGCTCAGTGCTGGTTGCTGCATGCAGGGACTTCATGCAAGGTGACAAACCACTCTGCCTTACCCACCCCACTGGCCACCAAACCCCCCAACCCTCCCTGGCTTTGCTGTGCCACCACACCAGACAAATGGGATTTCTGACATCCTGGGAGTCAGTCACACACATGCACAGAGTGTATTTTAGGTTATAAATTCTTCAGGGCAGAAACTGTGCTCCAGGTTTCACCCAGGCACACTCACCAGCTCCCAAATAATCTGATCAGCAGATGGAACACGCCAGGCTGAGCTCTTGGAAGTCTGGGCAAGCAGGACCTATGTGCCTGGCACCCAGGACCTGGCTGGCCCCATCCCAGTCTGTCTGACAAAGGAGCCTTTACCACGGAACCGAGAGAGCCGACGCTGGCACAGGCGTTGGGAGAAGCTGCCAACCATCACTCAGCAAACAGAGGCAAAACCCCGTGGCAAAGCAGGCAGCTTTCTGCCCCCAGGGAAAAGGACGCAGTCCAGCAAGGAAAACTATGCCTTTGCATCCCTGAGTTTCAAAAGGGGATTACAGCCGAGCCTGGGAATTGCCTAGGACAATGCCACAAAACGCCTGGCACAGCATCTGAATGAGGCACGAGAGAAAATCAGCCGTGGTGGGATCACATCCCTCACCAACCTCAGGCCCCAAATCTTTCCCATCCCCAGCTTCCCAGGCACCTCAGTCCAAAGAGTCCAACCCACTCCTTACATGCCTTTGGCACATCACCAGCTCCCTGACCCTGCAGAGATTCCTGGAATGACACAAGTTGACAGCTCAGGGTTTAATCCTTGAACATTCACACTGCTCTGGGGCAAATTGCAGGTGGCCAGAAAGCTGCTCCTGAAGGCAGGGACATGCCATGTGCCCCCTGTCCCTCTCCAAACCCCCTGTCCAGGCAGCAGGATGGGAAGAGTCCATCATGCTGGGAGCCTTGGGAAGGTTCAGGGGAAATAACCCTGTGGGAAGGACACACACACCGACGCTGATGCCCTGATATGCGAGCGGTGGGAGCGGATCACGCTGGGATCACCCCAGGATCATGTTGGGATCACCCCAGCAAGGCCAGGACATCACAAGCCTGGAATTTAACCAGGCACTGATGCTGAGCCTTAGTGAAGACTGGACATCTGTCCTCCCTGGGTGATCACACTCACACCCTGAGCCAACAGAAAAGGTAGGAAAAGAGGAAAAACTCAAGTCTGGCTGCAGCATAAATAGCTGCAAGTGAAGGATTAAGCAATGAGGCTCAGTGGCTGAGTTGCATTCCACAGGAGGGCTGTGGAGAGCTCCTCTCTCCCATCAGCATGCCTGGCAGGTCACTCCTCAGAAACCTCCCCTAGTCTGTCACACAAATCCACCCCAGTCTCACAAATCAAACTGCCCAAGGGTTGGGGCAAAAGAGACAGTTTTCACCCAAATCCAGGCTGGACTCTGGGTCTTTGCAGGTTCCAAGCACTTTGGCTCACAAGCCAAGGCAGGAATGGCTCGTGGCTGCTGAGTGCTGTGGAACTGTTAATAAAAATAGTAAGCTGGCACTTGTAAGGTGAGAAGAGTGAGGATCAAGGGCTGCATCCGGCAGGATCTGAGGCTCCTCAGCCAGTGTCAGGCACACATCCCAGTGGAGCAGCTACAGAACGGATGAGCACGTCTGCACAACACTGAAGTGGGAGAAAAAATAAAGGTGTTCCAAAAGGTCCCTTTTAGGGACTAGGGGCAATTGTCAGCTGAGCATGGATGAGGAAAAAACAGCTCATGTCCCACACTTCTCATGTCCTCCTGCTCCTGCCTGTCCCAGTTGGGCCAGGGATCCCCATGGTCCCATGCACAGGCAGCTGGCCAGGAGCTCATCCCAAGGAGAGTGTTTGTGTTACAGAAGCAGATACAAGGGCTGGAGGAGTCTGCTGACTCCTGCCTACATGAGGAGGGAAAGCTTTTGACAGCATATCCCTGGGGACACAGAAACACATCACCCTTTAGAACCACAGAATTATTAAGGTTGGGAAAGACCTCTAAGATCACCGAGTCCAACCCTTGTTGCAAACCATCCTTCTCATCTGATCAAAAGCTCCAGCAGCATCTTCACAGCATGAAAAACAGTGAGCTGAGGGACAAAAAGTCTGTTTACTCAGACACAAAGCTCCTTTGCCCTCAGCAAAACATGCTTTGCTGCTTTATGACTCCACATCTCCAAGACAGATGGAGGAGGAACAGCAGTGTGGGCTGTGCCACTATCTAACCCACACCACAACACAGACAACGTATCTGCAGCATGAGGAGCACTGGATGCCTGGGGAGATAAACACCTGCTGCCAGATGGACACCAGGACCTGTGCTCAGTCCATGGATATGAGATTGAAAGCAAAACCAACCAGTGGCACCACCTGCCTGCATGGTGCCCTGCCTAATACACACAGCCCAGCAAGGGGACAGTGTATGCTCCAAACTGAGTGGTCACTGCACCCAGAGCTCCTTCCCACAGTCTCCATCGTCCACCCTGACCTGGGATGGCTCTGGCCTCGGCAGCTCCAAGCATGGTGTGATGCAGAGCAGTGACTCAGAGGGCAGAGGCACTGTCCCCACCCAAAATCTCAGCACAACTCATTCCATTACTCACGAGAGCTGTCCAGAAATAGCTCATTACTAAGCCAGTGCTGGTGTGCAAAGGTGAGCAGGGCAAGGAGGCTGAGAGGACTGTGAGTCTCCAAGGCCAGCTGGGTGCCCCCAGTCACGCCCTGGACCTGGCAGCTGGCACAGCACCAACACCAGCTGCCAGCAGCACTCTGCTCAGAGAGAGATATGAATGAGTTCCTCTGCCTCTGTTGCTCAGCAGGATGAGGCCAGTCCCTGGGATGAGGAGTCTGATGCAAAGGTCTTTGTACTGTTCCCAGATTGTGAGCAGATAAAAGGGTGGAAAATGTGAAGACAATTCCATGAAGGCAAACAGGGCAAGCCCAAGCACAAATGCAGGAGAATGAATTGAGAGCATCCCTAAGGAGAAGGACTTGGGAGTGCTGGTGGATGAGAAGCTCAACAGGACACAGCTATGTCCACTGGCAGCTCAGAACCTCCTGTGTCCTGGGCCCATCCCCACAGCACAGGTGAGGGGCAATTCTGCCTCTGTGCTCCACTCAGGTGAGACCCACCTGCAGTGCTGCCTCCAGCTCTGGGGATCCCAGCACAGGAAGGATGTGGAGCTACTGGAGTGAGTCCAGAGGAGGCCATGGAGATTCTCCAAGGGCTGGAGAACCTCTGCCATGGAGCCAGGCTGAGAGAGCTGGGGGTGGTTAGGTTGGAGAAGAGAAGGCTCCAGGGAGACCTCAGGGCCACTTCCAGTGCCTCAAGGGGCTCCAGGAGAGCTGCAGGGGGACTTGGGACAAGGGACAGAGGGACAGGACACAGGGAATGGCTTCCCAGTGCCAGAGGGCAGGAATAGATTGGATACTGGGAAGAAAATCCTCCCTGTGAGGGTGGTGAGGCACTGGCACAGGTTGTCCAGAGAAGCTGCTGCTGCTCCATCCCTGGAAGTGTTCCAGGTCAGGTTGGACAGGGCTTGGAACAACCTGTGCTAGTGGGAGGTGTCCCTGCCCATTGCAGGGGGTGGAACTGGATGATCTTTAAGGTCCCTTCCAACCCAAACCAGGCTGTGATTCTATAATAATTTGAAGACAGCTTTTCTACAACTGCCATCAGGCCAAATGATGAAGAGCACACAGTCACCCACAACAGACACAAAAATTCAGATTTCTAACTCTGTCAAGTGCCAACCACCCCGAGTTGGAGCCAAGGCTGCCCAGCCATGCTGGCAATCCAACCCTGCCCAACAGCACCTGCAGCTCTCAGGCATGAGCAGCACTCACAGGGCCCCACTGGAGATGCCTCCTGCTCATCCATGGAGATAACACAAGGGAGCAACAACCACGTGGCAGCATCTCCCACGCCAAACCCCGCAGGGCCCCTGTGCCCAGCCCTGCTCCCACTGCTGCAGGCAGGCTGGGGCCACACTGGGATGGCTGTGGGTTTAGTCTGTGCCACTGCTGCCAGCACCAACCTAATCCTGAGCAGGCAGCTCCTTCAGCAGGCCAAAACGCTGCAACATGACCCCAAACTGCTCTGTTCTACTTTCCAAGCAGCTATGCTAAAGCCATCATCATAAAACCAGCCAGGCTCCAGGGCAGCCCTTGTGTTACTGGCCTCTCCCAGTTTCATGCCTAAAAATGTGAAGTTCCCGCTGAGCAGGAAATGGGGAATTCCTCTGGCAGCAGGATGTGTCCATCATCCAGTGGCTGCTAAGGGATCTCAGGACTCACAAAGAAAGATGTTAACGCTTTGAAGGACTCCAGCCAGGGACAGAAATCTTTCAACAAACCTCCTTGGCCAGGCTCGAGTTCCCAGAGGTAACAGAGGGGTTTTGTTCTGAAACAGAAATTCCCAAGTGCCACTGACAGCTCCAACCTGGCCAGACCTGTCACACCACAGATTGCAGCCCTGGCTGGAGGCACAGCCCCAAAGCCTGGGCAGTGCTGGGGGGGATGGAGCTGTACTGGGAGCAGGGACACCTCCCTGCAGGGACACCCCCAGCGCCACCAGCATGGCAAGGCTAGCTCCCCACAGCCTCCAGGCCCAGCAGACATCACACTACAAACCTCCTTGTCCAGGAAAGCAGAGCCCAGAGGAGGGTGAAGCCTTTAGGCAGTGCTCATGCAGCCACCAGCATTGCCCCCAGCTCACTTCTTGGGAAGAGATGGGAGAACAGACCTGGGGCTTGTGTTCCTGCCTTGCAGAGATGTCACCAAGCATCTCCCTGATTAATAGAAAATATTCCTCTGCCCCAGCAACTCTAGCTGCTTCCCTCAGCCAGGAGGTTCAGGGAACAGCCAGCAGACAGCACAAAGCCCCATCACCCCAGTGCCTGTCACCACAACAACCACAGAAGGAAAACCACCTCTTAGACCAGCCCAAGATCTTCCTGGTGCTGCTGTGCCTTCAGCTCTGCTAAACTTTTCATTAGTTTAACAAACTAAGTGCTGGGTTGGAGTGATTTAACTCTTGTTTAAGACAGAACTCAGCACAGACAGGGCTCAAGGCTGCAACAGCTCCAAGGCACGTAACTGGATTTCAAAACCACATGCCTCTGGTTCAGGCTGTGCAGTTGTGACACAGACAGGACCCCCAGCAGCTCACAGCACCCAGAGGGAACACAGGAAGGGTTTCCTCCCCAGCACAGCCAAGGACAGGCTGTCTCCACTTCTAAACATGGCATTGTGTGTGCACAGAGCTGCTGCGAGTGCCAGGCAAGGGCACCTCAGGACAGGACCCTGAGAGGTGCCACCAGGGCAAACAAGAGTCACTTTGGCCAGCTCCAGGCCACTGTAGGTGCTGCTGCAGCCCAGTGATGGGGCATATCCCCCCTCCCCTTCCAGAGTCCCCCAGGAGCAGCTTCTGCTCCACCAACAGCTCACAGCTCCAACCAGCACAGTGACAGCCACAGCTGTCTCCAAGATGAAGTCATGGGAAGAGGACTGGAGGTGTTTGGGGACAGGATGACAGCAGCACACAGGCCACTGGCAGACATTGCCTGCAGCAAGTCCCATGGGGCTGCTTCAAAACAGCAACGGTTTTAGCTGGTTGGACTCACTGGTACAATGAGAAAGCAAGTAAACTCCCAAATTAAAACTCAACAGAAATGCTCATCCAAGAGAACTTCATTTACTGAGATACCTAAACCATGGCTAAGGTAGGACAGGACAAGTGTCCTGACCAGAGGGACTCATACAGAATCCTAGAATCATTAAGGCTGGAAAGCAGAAAAAAGTTCCAAAAAGGGCTGGAAGCAACGGGTGATGCCAAAGGGAAACAAATGGCCAGGGCAGAGCTCAGGCTCGAGACAATCTGAGCAGCGCTGGGTTTGGCACAGCAGCACTGCAATTTCACGCTCACCCAGCCCTGGGGCCAGCCAAGCTGAGCAGTTTGTGTCAGTCCCAGCCCTCACCCACACCAACAGCCACCACTGACACCCAGAGCAGGACCCACACCCACTGCTCTGAGCCTCCCATCCCACCTCCCATCCCACCTGCCTGCCAAAACGACCAGGCACCAAGGAAGGTGTCTGTATTTACCTCTGGGAAAGCTGCCTGAAACCTCCCTCAGACCTCCAGACCTGCCATAACCAAATGACAAGGGATCATCCAAATAGGAGCTCCACTCAGTGCTCAAGTTTAGACCTTACCCATGTTTTTTGGAGCTATTCTTTGGGCATGACCAGGCAGGCTGGGCTCACCACACGCTCCAGCGGTGAAAGGCGACTGCCTGGACCCAGACCCAGAGCAGAGCAGCCAGGATGGCTCCTTTTCATTGCCAAATCCCACAAAAAGAAAAAACATCCACAAGCCAAACAGAGAGAGGGACTTGGGACAGAAGAATCTGAAAGCCTAAACAAAGCTCAAACCACAAGTGCTGGTGGGAAAAGCTGCCTGCCCTTACCTCCTTTCCCAAAGGCCATTATGCCATGTTCTTATTTTACCTCCCGCGGAAGCGACAGCCTTCCCAAGCCTCACGGCAGTACAAGTGTCTTGCTGAAAGCTCCAAATAACACAGCACAATCTCAGCAGATGCCTGTACTTGTGTAATGCCTGACTGCCCCAGAGCCAATCAATATTTGCTAATACATTCCTTACTTTTCATGTCAATAGGCCTCTCCAGTGCAAACGGCCAGTTGGGAGGTGAGCCCGGTTAAACGCTCCCGATAACCTGTTGGAAGACAGTGACTTGGCTTATTTTTCACTTCAACGTTTCCCTGGAGAAGCTGTAGCTGTCAGGAACATGGATTCAAGTTAAAAATCTCATGCAGTCTCTACCTGAACTACTTGGAGCTGAGGAGGAAGAGCTGGACATAAACTGTTTGGACACCACTTGGCAAAATGGAAAGAAAGGAAAAGCAAGTGGTCTCTGTGACACACAGCCAGCCAAAGTGTTACCTCCCATCTCCAGTTTCCTGAATGGAACACTTTCCCAGGGATGTGGGGGCTCAGCCAGGACTCTGCTCCCAGCCCACCCCACGCAGCCCAGGAACCACACAGGGGTTCTCACGGGGGTGTCAGGGCCAAGGCAGGATTTAGGGGGGCTGGTGGCTGCTGGGGGACTTGGCTGCCAGACTGTTAGCCTGGAAAGGGCTGCACAGTCATGCTTTTGGAATGCTCCCCTGCTCCTAAGACATTACACAATTATTTCCCCTCCCCGCAAGCCCCCCTAATATAAATGTTTAAGAATGAGCTCAGCAGTAAGCAAAGGCAACTTTTTGCCTTTTTCTGAAGAAAACACTGCGAGGCCACTCCGTGGGCTGTGCGTGGGGACACTGCTGGAGCAGGGGCTGTGGGGAGGGATGCAGGATGGGGCTGCAGCCCCTGGGTTCTCATCATGGGTCAGTCACTGTCTGGGGGGCAGTGGAGACTGCCCAGCTCAGCAGCAGCCACAAGTTGGGACCCACAGCCTCAAGGGACAACTCACAGTGACCCAAGTGTGGCTAACCCATCGCTGCCCACGCCCAGGGACCCCCACCCCATCCCGGGCACACCCACCCCACCCTGTCCTGCCGCTCCCCACCCAGCCAGGCTGGGGCACCCACCCCACGCCACACTGCCCAGCAGTGCCCAGACCTCACACCAGCACTCACCAGTAACACCACACCCCCTTCCCCTGGATCCCAGTAACCCCACACCCCACCTTACTGGGACCAGTAACCC